CATACATACATACATACATACATACATACATACATACATACATACATACGTACATACATAGATGATAGATGGATAGACAAACAGACAAACATCACTAGTAAAGAAAATACTATGGGGGGCTGGAGAGATGGCTCAGAGGTTAAGAGCACTTGTTCTTCCAAAGGTCCAGCGTTCAATTCCCAGCAACCACATGGTGGCTCATAACCATCTATATTGTGATCTGGTGCCCTCTTCTGGCTTACAGGCATGCATGCAAGCAGGATACTATATACTGTATAAATAATAAATAAATAAATCTTTGAAAAAAGAAAATACTATGAAGCCTGGCAGTGGTAGCACACGCCTTTTAATCCTAAGCTTGGGAGGCAGAGGCAAAAGCAAGTGGATCTCTACAAGTTCAAGGCTAGCCTGGTCTACAGAGAGAGTTCCAGGACAGCCAAGGCTGCACAGAAAAACCCTGCCTTGGGAAACAAAAAGAAAAGAAAATATTTTGGCCAGGTAGTGGCGGCAGCGCTTGCATGCCTTTAATTCTAGAACTGCAGAGGCAGACAGATCTCTGTGAGTTCAAGGCCAGTGTGGTGGGGGCGGGGGTAATATTGTTAACATAAACTGTGTTTATATAATTACTTGTATGGTACATATTTTCTAAGTCCTCAAGTCAATCATATTTCCAGGTACTAAAGCAGCTTGACCATTCTAGAGTAGTTGTAAGGTTCTAGATAAAAATCAATGAAATTTCATTCACTTTTGGGCAGTTTCCACAAGTCACAATTCTCAAAAGAAAAGCACCATCAACAAGGTTAACGAAAATGGTGACAGGACCTGAAAGCAGTTCCCAAAGGTATGACTTTGCTACTCTGAATGGAAAACTACTCATTTGGTTTTATGTTTTTGTCTGCTTGCTATTTTATAAATTGACAGTACTTTATGATTACAGCACATACGGAGAGTTTAAGAATCTATGTATACCAAATTATATCAGTGTTTGACTGTATGTTTTACTACAATGATGATTTTATTCTCTACATAAAGTCATTAAAATGTACTGTAGGGCCGAGGTGGCTCGGCGGGGAAGGTACTGGGCTGCCGACCGCATTGACCGGAGCTCCAGCTCTGGGCCCCACATGGTAGAAGGAGAAGGGATTCTCACCATGGTATACCCCCCGGCCCCACACCTACACACGCCACACTGTACCCCTGACCACCCACCACAGCCTTACGGGGTTTATGCAGAGGCACTCTGTGTTGGTCACGGTGAAAGGGTCATACTTGTCTGCAATGACCAGCAGATCGGGCACGGGGTACACTCTTAAAGCGTGGTCATATGCCCAGTAGACGGGGCACACATACAGAGGGAGAGGAGTCAGGTGTCCTTGAGATAGGATGGTCTTTATGAACTACAACAGAACACAAAAACAAGCCAAATGGTTCATCCATGAAGGTAAAAACAGTGAAACAAGTGAATGAAATGGTTAATTTCCATGACGACCTAGAATAATTGTGAATCAAGGAAGCCTTGAATCACAGAACATCAATAAACATTGCTCTTAGAAATTTTAGGGGGAAAAAATCTAAGTTTTCACTTATATCAGAACACTGACCCTTTTGGTCATTTTGAATCAGCTGTACATATAATAAGCTCATTTACTAATTCAGCTCAATTAAAAAAAAAAAAAAACACTCAGGTTTGGTAATCTGTACTCCCACCAATCAGGAGGCTGACACAGGAGTATTGTCATATATCTGAGGACAGCCTGGGCTACAAAGCCGTCAGGCACACACACGGTATACAACCCTACATGCAGGTAAAACACCCCTATATACAAATTCATAAAATAAACAGATATAAAACAAAAGGTAATTTATCAGAGAAGGCTACTTACATGAGTAGGAATATCCAAATTGCTACTAGGAAAACGGACACAGTTTCTACACATTTTATTCACTAAGTCTTCACGGAAGATAATAATTTCTTGTGTACAATACTGAATTCTGAAATAAAGCAATAGTTGAATATTTGACTTCCTCAGGAAAAAAAAACTCAGATAATTTTAAAGGTAAACAATCATAAAATATGAAGGAAACCTCACTGTACTTCTCAATGGTCACCACAGCAGAGATTCAGGCAGTCTATCTTATCTGTTCCCCCATCAGTTATTTACTGAGTTCTATGTGTGTGTGTGTGTGTGTGTGTGTGTGTGTGTGTGCACAGCCCTAGCCCTTTACATTTCCTATAGAAACACTCAACCACTGAGATGTGCTCCCAGCCCTGTTCTTAATATGTGCCCAATACTATTCAAATGATAAGTGAACATAACAGAAGAAAAATATATACACTTTACATTCTGATGGGGGAGGAGGGCAGAGAAATTAAACAGACATGACGATGATGTATGCTGGGGAAAAAGAGAATGGTGAAGAGGGATCACAGAGGGTATGGAAGGCTAGGGTACTAAGACAGGATTAAAGCAGGGAAGGGTCATCAGGCACAGTGACCTGAGCACAAGCTTGAAATGGACCAGCAGCCAAGACATCTGGAAGAGGGGCACTGAAGGCAGGAGGAAGAGGTAGAACACAGGGCCTAAGACTGGAGCCTGCCTTGCATGCTGGGGGTACAGAGGCTGGTGTGGAGGAAGTCATTGGGGAAAGGAAATCAAAGCAGTAGCAGGGCAGGCCATGCAGGCAAGGCATGGCTACCACAGCAAGGAAAAGGGAGCCCATCTTTCAAGACAGGAGGACGACATGATATGCTTTCTTGTATGGAGAACGGACGACACAGGGGAAGGAGCAGAAGCCAGAGGCCACTTTAGAGGCTACTGATCCAAACTAGAGAAGATCGAAGGTCAGAGGTGAGAGGTGACTAGATTCAGCGTTCTGAAGATGACAGGGCTACCTCAAGAGCTGTGTGTAAGGAAACCTCTACAGTTATGGTCTGAGTAACTGCAAAGATAAGGGGAAGGCCCCAGACAGGTGAGAGATGGAGCTTGGGGAGGATTGGAGTGCTCATTTATCTATCAGACATCTGAGAGGTGACGGTGGACATCTAGTCCCACAAGTATGGGCCTCCTGAGGAAGCTGGAGATACTATTGCCAACACACACCACAAATTCACTATTGGTTAAATATTTGAATGTAGTTAAAATCAAATTTTCTTTTTACATACCCTCTAAGGCAGTCGAATTCAGAAATAAATTACAAGAATAACTTTTAGGTGAAGGGAAAGAAGTTTAACACAAAATGCTCTTTCTGACTTACTCACCTGCAGGGATTAGTAGTGAACACTGAGAACGGTACCCTTTGTCTGAATTCCTTTGTGATGCTTTCTGAGAGCGGTGGCCTAGAAAAATGATGTGAGGTAGAATATGTTTATACATTTTACACAACTCTCTTGACTGTCAAAAATATATATATATATATGAGTAAAGATTACCTTGGTAAAATGGAGCCAAATCCAGGGTCCTCCGGGCCAGGCACAAACACAAAACGGCTACTGCATGAAGAGCCAACGGCAGCCATTAAAAACAACAGTGTGCCCCACACCAGGAGCCAACACTGAGCCACTGCCTTCAACCGAGTCACGGCTTCCTGTTTTGTTTTGTTTTTGATTTCTGAGTAGAGGTCGTGCTATACAGTCTAGGCAGGCCTTAAATATGCAACCTTCTTGCCTGAGTCTCCTCAGTACTGGAGTGCTGCCATGCCTGTCCACATTTCCTTATACATTTAAATAAACTACTGAAAGTCTCCGGTCCAAAACTATCTATTGGTGATAGTGTCTCGCCTGCTGACCTGCAGCTGCACTGTCCAGTCACTCAGTGTGCTTTAACTGTGCCTAGTGGGGCTGATGTACTCAGTCTCATTTAATTTTATATGTGCGCGCATATGTGTATGCGGGTGCATATATGGGCCTGTGTCTGCTGTGACACACATGTGGAATTCAGAGAACATCTTGTGGGAGTTGGTTTTCTCCCTCATGTGGGCGTCAGGAATCACACTCAGTTATCAGGCTTGGAAGAGAGCACCTGTACCCACTGAGTCACCCTGCTGGCCCGGATTAATCTGTCTTTACAGAGGCAATGCTGATCAGACTGAAGGTCCACCTCTGGACAAGTGGTGTCGCCAAAAACTATGGATAAAAGTGTTACTCTCCCTTCCAAAATAGGTTTCACTTTAAATCCAGAAGAGTAGTGTAACCCATGTGATGATGAAAGGATTTTATCCAGGGCTCTTTTAACACTCTCAACTTTTTCTTTCTACAAACAATTCTTTACAATTATTGATATAAGCCTCATGATGCATTAAAAAAAAAAAAAGGTAGCCATAGAGATCTTTACCTTTGGTGGATACTCGGGTACTCACATATTATGTCTGCCAAAGACTTTAGGGAATCTGAAAATTATAAAAGGTATTTAATTTAATTTGTTAAAGTTACAGTTGATTAGATCTCTTTAATAAAATTAAAATATTACATATAATTTATCAATATAGGTTAGGCAAATATAAAAACACTCTTAAGTATTTTTTGTTTTTGTTTTTTGTTTTTTAAGACAGGTTTCTCTGTGTAGTCCTGGCTGTCCTGGACTCTCAGTAGACCAGGCTAGCCTTAAACTCACAGAGATCCATCTGTCTCCGCCTCAAAAGTACTGGGCTTAAAGATGTGCTCCACCCCACCTAACTTAGAAACACTCCTATTAACAAGATCCTCAGTACCTTTCAAAGCCTGAACCTGATTTTTTCCATATGGTGCAGATGAAAAATTTCCACACAGAATAAAGCAGGTTGGAGGTGCCGGTGAATAACCTAGAGAACAAAAGAACATCACTTTTGGAGACTAAAAATTTTGTTTATTTATTAATTTCTTTAAAGGATTTATTTCTTTATTTTATGTATATGAGTGCTCTGGTTGCATGCACACCTGCATGCCAGAAGAGGGCAACAGTGCCCAGTGTCGATGGTTGTGGGCTACCACATGGATGCTGGGAACTGTCTGGAAGGGCAGACAGTGCTCTTAAACACTAAGCCATCTCTGCAGCCCCAGGTAATTATTTTTGAGATTGGATCTCTCTATGTATCCTTAGCTGGCCTGAAATTCACAAAGATCTACCTGCCTCGGCTTTCCAGGTGATGAGATTAAAGATGCATATCAGCGTGTCTGGCCAGCTTTAACTGGGAAAATTGTAGTTTTGTTTTGTTTCTTTTTAAAACAAGGTCTTCCTAAGTTACCCAGACTGACCTTTAATCATGGCTCAATAAATCCCCAACCTCAGACTCCCAGGTGACAGGGAAAGGACCCACAGATGCACTCCACCACAAAAGCATGGCAAACATTTAGAACACAATCTCTCACAACAGTTCAAGGATGACAGTAATAATAACGATGATGATCATAAGTACCAGAAAACATGATGTGGAGCTTCTCCAACACTTGCACTTGGTCCAACCAGACATCAGATACAAACACAAACATGGCATCCTTGTTCTCATCTTCCAGCTGTCTCAGTTTTGCAGAAGTCTTCACTGATGCATTAGAAGGCCCTCCAAAAAAATTAATATTTCCATAGTACGCCCTATGTAATTATAACACAGTTATCTCCTATACCATGTTCTGTTCACCAAGAAAGCAAACACATGCCAGATACGATCATGCAACAGCACAGTATTGGAGAGATGAACTATGTTGTCTGCAAATGACTTAGAGCACACATGTGAACACAGGCTACACAGGCTGTCCAGTGTGCACGCTCTGAAAGCCGTCCCCAGGGCATAGCACACACTTCCATTTTAGCTCAGCTGTGACTAGCCACCAGAGGCTGTCAAGAGACCCTCAACAAGGCCGACAGCATTCTTCACAGAAGGAGAGGATGGACAGTTAACAGAACCCCACTGGAGATCCCAGCCGCTCTGCTCACTGCTGCACGTTCTCCCGCCCCAGCTCCACAGTCCTGGGAGGTGCCAGCACATGAAGGGGGTGTAAAGTGAACTGGGGAGAGGCAGGGAGAATGAACTCATCTATTATACTATGGGAGGTCCAGGCTAGGGTGAGACCTTTCAGTGATGCAGCAGTCTTGGGGGTCACCTGTGGTCCTGTACGCTCAATAAAACCATTGTCTCACCAGGTAGTTATCAGTACAACTGATACTTTGGGCTGTCACTGATGCCCTATCTGGGTGAACAGACTTTTGTTCAGGTCTCCTCAGGAAAGGTGAAAGCAACAGTATACTTCAGTGCCAAAGGAGCAATTTTCACATCCGCTCACTCGCTCCCCTCCCAGGCTCCTGGCTTTAGCTCCTTGCAACTTCCCCTTCTGTATGAAACAAGAGGGCACTGTCACCAGCCACCTTGGCTGGGGCCATGAATGCCTGGCAGCTCAAATGCTTCATTATTCTGTCCATAACCACAGAGACACAGCACTGCACATTTACAGAGGTCTGGACTAGATGCCATAAATAACGAGAATTTACCATTCATGTTGATACATAAATAATATGAACCACAGCTCATTAAATTCACTTTTCTTTTTATGCCTTTATATTCCTTTTTTTTTCCAGTTTAAAAATTTTATTTGTGTGTGTGTGTGTGTGTGTGTGTGTGTGTGAATGTAGGTCTCATTTATGAGCATTTGTGTGTGTAAATGTGTGTCTGCTTGTAGAGGCCAGCAGAGGGCATCAGATCTCCTGGAACTATGGTGGGTGGGTTTCCATCGCTTTTTTAAATCTCGGACACAAAGCCTGACACCTTGTAGTGACGGAGACAAACTGTGTTACACTCACTACTGCCGATACACAAAATCCCGGAGAGTCAAAATCAAGCGCCTTAATACCTTGTGGTGCTAGAGGGCTCAGTGGGTGGAAATCCAAAGGCATTGACGTGAAACACTTCATCTTCAAACCAACCTAAACAATCAAACAAACCAGGTAACAAGTCACTTTTATCTGCTCAGTTATCCTTTTTTGAACAGAGAAATTCATGCCACATAAAGCAATGAACTGAACTACAGAAGTCACCGATCTTACTGAGCTGTCCAATCCAGAGCCATGCACAGTCCAAACTCTATATGGAAGACATTAAACAAGTGTACCCCACCCCAACTGAGTCATATTTTAGAGTTTGGTGGTGCACTGGGGGTTTGTGCCCGGGTTGGAGTACAGAGAGGAGCTGCACAGATGGGAGGTGACCGAGTGTGACCATGAGGTCCAAGTGAGCCTGTCAGTTTTACGAGCACAGCGTGTCCTTGATGGCGTGCACACCGGTGGTTTTCAGCACACTCACGTGGTGCAGCTTTCCCCACTGTCTAATCTCAGGGCATTTTCCTCGGCCCTGAAAGGCTTCCTAACAGCCTTTTCCTTAAGAGTCACCTCATCATCCTGCCAAGGTCACATTCCCACCATGAATGTCCTCCGGAATTCCATCATTGGTGTCTCCCCCAAACAGGAACAGTTTCGCTGTCACGCAAGGCCACGAACAGGGCGCACGCACTTACCTTCAGCCAGGACAAAGCACGCCTCGGTGTACAAGCCACTGTGGAACTGGTGCAGAGCAGATGAGGAAGAATTCAAGTCTACGCTTGAAACAGTTGTATCGCCAGCATACAGTCTGAACCCCGAGGCACTTTTAGCTTCGTTGTGTTGTTTTAGATTTCTCTTAGGGGTTGTATTGGTGTTGGGGTGGGAGGGTACTGTGTGTTGGAGGGGAAGGTGGAGACATGTAACCGGGTTGGCCTCAAAACTCCTGCCTCTGTGTTCCAAGTGCTAGGATTACAAGTGTGCGCCCCCATGTTTGGCCCAGACAAATAATAAGCTGCACTGCTGTGAGCTGCCATGTGGGTGCTGGGAATTTAACCCAGACCCTGTTAGCAGCTGGTACTCTTAATTGTTGAGCCATCTCTCCACCCTCTATCTATCTATCTATCTATCTATCTATCTATCTATCTATCTATCTACTTATCTGGAGATAGGCTCTCACTGCGCAAGTGTCCTGGAGCTCACTATGTAGACCAGGCTGACCTTAAACTCACAGAGATCTGCCTCTCTGCCTCTGCCTCTGCCTCCCAAATGCTGGGATTAAAGGTGTTACACTATCATTCCTGGACAGAATTTTTTTTTAAAGGATATAGCTTTACTAAGGTCCAGCTGCACTGTTCCAGTAGGATCTTCTAGAAAAAACTTCCCCTAAAAAAGAAATTAAATGAAATGTAGTCACACTTGTGTGTGTGTGTGTGTGTGTGTGTGTATATATATATATATATATATATATATATATATATATATATATATAT